GATTCTGACTGACGTCCGTATACTTGTATCTCTGTCCCTCGTGTACCCGATCGTTTAGAACTTTAATTTTCCCTCTCCTTCCTCACCCTCTATCGCTTTTTTTTTCGTGTATATTGGTAGGCCAGGATTGCATCGTCGGTTTGATTGTTAAATATTTCGTTTAATCAGACGTGTTCCGGAAATCGAGCTAATTTATAACGATGGCTTTGTAAAGCCCTTTCGTAGTTACGGTTCGACCGGTAAATCTCTATGTCCAGAGCGTAATAAGTCTTCGAAAGCGGAAATTGAACGAGGTAGGGAGGATCATATCGATCTTTCCGCGACCCTTCGTTGTCCTAACGAGACATTGGATTCGATTGTTTCGATGAACAACCGGAAACGAGCATTTCCATTTCACCTACCTTTTATGCAACCGATACACTCATTTCCCGGATTTGTTTAAGACGACATTGGTACTGTGTCCCATATGAATTAACATATATAATTAACATTTTAATTGCCTTGATGAAAATAGAATTAGTTAATTTACAAATTTTAAATTTCAACCTTTCTATCAATTATTCTACAATTGCGAGTTAATTAAAATTGCGAGTGTAGCGAACATAATTAAAATTGCCCCATAACAAAAGGGAAAGTTATTCGAACAATGGTCAATAAACTTAGGGCCTAATTTTTGCCAATATTTGAAGCAAGCTGTCGTATCAATTTTACGGCTCGCTAGGGAGCTGATCATCGATCGTTTCGCAATGTGATTGATGCACGCGATGTTCGGTACATAGCGCAGCATGATGAAGGAGCCCAAACAATGAATTATTCATTCTCATCCGAACGAAGAGCAACGCGAGGGAAACAATGATGCATCGTAACAAATAGGTTGCCGGTTTCGTGCGACAGAAATCGAGGCAATCGAAACAATGGCAGCTGCTTCAATTTGATAGGTTAACGAAATAGTTGATTCGTCGAAGAACGAAGGTAACTTCGTTATCCACGGTTCGTAAGCGCGTACAAATTACTCGTTCCAGTTTAAAACGTATTTTCTGTCTGACGGACCGAAAACGGAAACAGCGAGAAAATCTGTGCATCCCTTGCATTGTTTCGGATCACGGCATTTACGTTTCAATGAACACGTTCTTCGACTTTAATCGACGTTCTTTCGTTCGTGTTTCTCGTTGAATTAAAAAGGACGGGATGCCGGAATGCGAGCGTTCGTACAACGTGATTCGGTCCCAGGCAATTTTTCATGAATTCAACGCGCAACTCTAAACCGTGAAATGTTTCACTCAAAGTAGGTATTTCAATTTGTATCACTTTGAAAACTAACTGGTTGGTTTTAATATAAAATAGTGTAAAGGAAAGTGGGAACAAAAACAACATTGTAGATAATTCAAAATTTATTGTAGCTCTCATCGCAAATTTTATACAATCCGATATACAGCATTGGCAAATAAGATAACAGCTAGTAAAATGTAATTTTTAAAACACCAGCGAAATACAAATTAAAATTGTTGTAAAAATTGGTTTTCTGAACCGTAATTTCAATTGCAAACATTACGTGTACACATACAAATATTTACAGCAATTAATTTTAATTCGTTTCGTTCCACGTACGAGCACGATCCTAATTATAAATTAAAGAACGAAATTATTTATTGAAGTTTACAAATTTTATTAAAAATATCAAGTGCATCGCAAAGTTCATCATTACTAACTACCATTAAAAGTTATTTATTCAGGAATCGAAAAAGGAAAAAGGTTGTTATATTAGCTAACACAGAAAATGGGGTGACCCGAGAGAATAACTACGAAAGGTGAATCCGAAAAGAGGGAAAGAGGCTAAAACAGTGAGGAGAAGAATATTTCTCGGTTATTTTACCATTTGGTGTTTCTTAATTGCCTGGAACATAGGAATGCACTCTGCTTATTAAGTTCCTCAGAAGTGTACATAAGATTGCAATAAAGTTGACCGACGATTTCCTCCAAATAATTAATTAATGACGCGACTTATAGTTTCAATTTTCAATATCAATTATGTAGCTCACGCTATGATTCCATTAATTGCAATCAACAAATTGGTGTACGAAAAAAACTAAAAATAATAATAACGAGAAGATGTTTAGTAGCTCACAAATTTCCAGGGAAAGCTCCATGTGCTCACGGTGGGTTGTCTAATAAAATGAGGAAAAAGCGGTCGCAATCTGCCGTAAAAATGTCCTGCACACGACACATTCCCTTCCGCAAGAATCTCGTTTTACAGAAGAGGTAAAAGAATCACTTTTTATCCTGGCCCGTAGCGTATAGCTTCCTGTTTCGCGTCTCTTAATTAACGGGGATGCGTCCCTTTTAAAACCATGTGTGTTTCAATCTCGCACACCAGTGTCACGTTCGCGAACGAACTCAATTTCTTCTTTCTAATAACGTTTTAAAACCAGACACTCTCTCTGCTTATCACCATTTTATCTTTCCTTCGTGATGCGTCGAAAACGAGTAAACTGAAACCGAGTCGAGTTATCGTCCACTTTTCAATTTTTACTTTCACCATCTTTTTTCTCCTTTCTTTCTAGCAACCTAAAATTTAGAGGCAGTGTCTACAGACTCAACACGACTGGTCTCTGTCTCAAACTAGTTACTGCTGTCCGTGAAGATGTTAGATCCTAGGACCTCCACCCCCAACGTGGACAGAGCGAAGAAGAACAGCAAGGAAAGGGTGATCCAACCCTTCCTTCAACACTAGATATGGCGGACTCACCACTAAAACTAGTAGAACCATATTAGGGCCGCAGGCGTCAGGAGTGGGGGCTCCTGGCGCCCTTGCACGTGGTCCGAGTAATGGCCGGCACCGGGTGCGACCCTCGGTGTCGGCCAAGGGGGAGGTCTCAGTTTGGACTTCCCCCGAGATGAGCACCAGTGTGCCAGGCGTGGAGGGCTCCGGAGTAATATACGGAGTCCTCCTTTAACGTCAGTGCTGGTCGCCGTGGGGTTTTAGTCAGTAGGAATCTGACACTCCCTCGCCGCCCTTCCCCAGGGACGGTGAGGGGTCTTATGCAAGATTTCCCCACGTTAAAAAAAAAAAAAAAAAAAATTACTCATATCAACTCATCCATATAAAGTATAGAACGAGGTGAATCCCAGGCAGTCTTATCGCGACAGCCGAAGGGTGCAGACCTCCAGTCGAACGTGCATATATCATTAATTTATTTTTTGAACTTATTTAATTTATTTCATTAATTTTCTTAATTTATTGGGTAAGCTCACAAAGAGGATGAAATTTACGATTTTATCCCTTTTGTGAGCCTCGATTTACCATCCCTTTTATTCATAATTTTTTCACTTTTCGTAAGACTGGCGGGATCCACCTCAGTATTCCTTATATCTTCTATACACTCGTATTCCTTACATTCTCTATATCCTTTATATCTCTGGACCCTTTATATCTCCGTACCCTTCATATCTCCGTATCCTTTACATTTCCGTATTCCTTACATCTCTATATCCTTTATATCTCCGGACCCTTTATATCTCCGTACCCTTTATATCTTCGTACCCTTCATATCTCCGTACCCTCTATATCTCCGTACCCTTTATATGTCCGTACCCTTTACATCTCCGTATCCTTTACATTTCCGTATTCCTTACATCTCTATATCCTTTATATCTCCGTACCCTTTATATCTCCGTACCCTTTATATCTCTGTACCCTTCATATCTCCGTACCCTCTATACCTCCGTACCCTTTATATCTCCATATCCTTTATATTTCCGTATCCTTTATATCTCTGTATTCCTAACATCCCACCACGCCCCCTAGCGGCAAAAATGTGAACTAAATTTTCGATGTCGAATCAGCGCCCTCTGGTGCCAGAAAAAGGAACTAAACCTTGCAGCAATTTTGGCCCTCTAGCGGCAAAAATGTGAACTAAATTTTCGATGTTGAATCAGCGCCATCTGGTGCCAGAAAAAGGAACTAAACCTTGCAGCAATTTTGGCCCTCTAGCGGCAAAAATGCGAACTAAATTTTCGATGTCGAATCAGCGCCATCTGGTGCCAGAAAAAGGAACTAAACCTTGCAGCAATTTTGGCCCTCTAGCGGCAAAAATGTGAACTAAATTTTCGATGTTGAATCAGCGCCATCTGGTGCCAGAAAAAGGAACTAAACCTTGCAGCAATTTTGGCCCTCTAGCGGCAAAAATGTGAACTAAATTTTCGATGTTGAATCAGCGCCATCTGGTGCCAGAAAAAGGAACTAAACCTTGCAGCAATTTTGGCCCTCTAGCGGCAAAAATGTGAACTAAATTTTCGATGTCGAATCAGCGCCCTCTGGTGGCGGAAAAGGGAACTAAGTTTTGCAAAAATTTTTGTCCAGAATGAAAGATAAACTAATAAATAACTGGGAAGGGTGGGCGTTTGCTCCTAACGAGAGATAAAATAATGAAGGAAACAGAGGGATAAAATAAAGAAGGAAACAGAGGGGTAAAATAATGAAGGGAACAGAGGGATAAAATAATGAAGGAAACAGAGGGGTAAAATAATGAAGGAAACAGAGGGGTAAAATAATGAAGGAAACAGAGGGATGAAATAATGAAGGAAACAGAGGGATAAAAGTAATGAAGGAAACAGAGGGGTAAAATAATGAAGGAAACAGAGGGATAAAATAATGAAGAAAACAGAGGAAGAGAAGCTGAGGTCCATAAGGAATGATGAAATAATAAATGAAATGAATGGGGGCCAGAAGAGCTTACTTAATAGGCTAGGAAAATAAATAAAGTAAATTAAATAAATTCAGAAAATAAACTGAAGATATATGTATGCTTGACAGGTAGATCCGCATCCCTCGGTGGTCGCTATACGACTGAAGACGTCTTACCTCTCAAGGTTGAAGTATTGACAGCGGTGCTCAATCAGTTGTGACATTTCAGAAATTTTGTATTTTGAATAAATAACTCGGAAAGGAAATTCGGTAAATTAAATAATAACTCAGTTGCTTTATTAAAATAATTTATTTACCAAGGTGTATGAAGTGAATACAAGTTTGTCAAAAAATTATATAATTACTTTTTTGGTCTTGTGCTGTTGACTGATGTTGACTGATTTCTAAAAAAAAAAAAAAAATAGTATTAGAGGGAGTAGGAATTGTATCTTCTAAGTTGTGAGTGCAAGGTGTGATTAAAAAGGGACTGATAAAACATTACTGTTATACTTACTGTATTCTGTACATGCAGTCTTAATCATCACTTGGGTTGTCTGGTACCCCAAAACTATGATTTCTCGAGGACAGAAGCATACCCAGTCTTTTTGTATCTGTGGTCACTGTCTGAGGTGAAAAAGGAACTGCAACTTGTCAAATTCAAGTTTTATTTGTCGAATGCCACAAGTTTTCAGATTCCTCACTCGATTCGATTCCTTCGTCCCTTGAGGGGCTCGTTTATTTTACAAAGGGAAAATTTAGGTCAAAATCACTGAAATTACCTTGAACATTGACGGAACGTCGGCGTGCCGATTATCGAGCCCTTTTCTCGATCCCTTATCTTTTTTTCTTATTCTCAGATAGCGTGATCCTTTTCTGGTCTCGGTTTCGCACATCAAAAGCAAGCTTGAACATCGTCGCAATCACAGAGACTCTCTTCCAGTTACTCGATAAGCCATCGCACTTCGACTATGACCCACATGCTCAACGACAAAGAAACGTACCTATCTACTTTTATCCGGCAACCCTGCTGCGACAAACTTCTATGCGAAGCTGACACGTACAAAGAATCGTCGAAGCAATATTTCGATTTCTGATGATACATTTCGATGGAAAGGATAATCAGTAATCACCTGGATCAATGTATTATTAAGGTCGTCTTCCAAATTCGTGTCAGGTTCTAAACATAAGAGCCCAATTTTTAAATTTCTCTACAGATTTAAAGTTGTCAAATCGTAATAAATATAAAAAATAATTAATAGATTGCAATAATAATAATATTGAAATGCTGCTTCTTTTAATTTAAACGAAACATTGAAAGGATCTTCCTGTATCCCACTATCGCCAAGTTTAAAACGAGATTTGATAATGCTAAAGATCATTTTTCACAACTGTTATTTCGAACATGCAAACGAACGAAACAATTCTTTCGTGAAAAAGCTAGAAATATTGACATATTTATGTTGGCTATATGCCCTGCATCGGAAACAAACATTTATTTCATTTATTTTATACACACCATTGGAACTAAAACGAAACAATAGAATCTAGAGGTATTTTCACAGAAATATCTATATCAGAGTGAAAGCTGCAATTTATAATGTCCCGGTATATTTAAATAATAATTTGTATTAATTTAGTGCAAGCGAACGTATGAAATGATATTGTATTTCATTGAAAATAGAGGTATCTTTATAAAATATTCACAAAATTTCATGAACGTTTGCCTCGTTGCATTGCATTAGAGCAATCTTAATGGGTTCTAGAGGAGATAAGAGGGTATCAGTCATCAAAAACTCATCAAACTTACTGCATACGCCTAAAGTGTGCTTGGCTACGTTGCACAGATTTCCTTATCACATTTGTTATCAACATCACCGACATTTCAGCTGTCGGAATAGAGCTTCTGATACGAATTGATTATCGTTTAACCTGGAGGTAAAGAAGCAAAATTTGTGGTAATAGCTACGATAGATTTTGAATTATCTACAATGTTACTTTCATCCTCGCTCTTTGTAATATTTTTCTGTCCAGAAATTATTTCAGAAATTCTGTATTTCTCAAATCTGCACTTTATATATAAAAATGTGAAGCAACAAAGTTTCACCTTTAGAAAACTACCTAAAGAGAAATGAAGGGAGTTTTAAACGGGCTACTTCTCGCAGAATTCTTTATCCCGTCCATTAGAAGACGGTATCTGGAGCTTTCGAAATTAACACGCCCATGAATCGACGGCGACGAGGAGTCGCCAGTTAAAGCACTTGAACAGCCATTAACACCTCGAGCCACCCTCGGACTTGTTGCATGCAATAATAACAAAGTTTCCTGACACCATGACCGATTTCCAGCAAGCTCTCCGTTTGTCTTTCGAAACTCACGACACTTGTCTCGGGGTAAAGAAAGTTTAAGTTCGCTGAAATTGAGAATGATTCGATCGAAGAATGGAATGGAAATGGTTCGATCGGGGATTCATTTTGTTTAATTATACAGGACGGCAAATTATAGGGGCGGAAACTGTAAACTGCTGGTTATCTTGTCGGATCTAGATAACTTTTGCAAGCAACTGAAGGGGAAAATGAAAATTGGCGGGCCTCCAGAGAGAAACGTATCCACTGTGGCAGAGTGAAACTCGACAACGGCTCTCAGAGTACCTCCTCCCTCTCTTAAGCCTTTGAAGAATGGAATTGTAGCTTGTGTCTCTATTGTTGCTGGGAATTGTTGCCTACAGTTCGCTGGACCTATTCTTTCTTAGACGACCGGCTTCAGAGTACGTTTTCACCCTTTTCTTTCCTGTACCTCGTAACTCTTTAATTCTGTGCTACCTACAATGTTCTGGTTTTAATAATACCGCTATGCAGAAGATAATATTGTCATGCTTCTAAGTTATTTTATTTTGAAATAGAATTAAAGGTACTAGTATCATGAATGCTATAAAATAAATTTTGATTATTTTAGAAAATTGGAATAGCAAGATGTTGAAAAATCAAATAATGGAAAGCATCGAATCTCAGTAAAATAAAAATTTGGCTGCATTGTACAGAAAGATAAAGTACGTGGTAATTGCATTGCTTGCTGATTTGAAATTGCCGTGCAAAGTGCTTTCAATTACGAGATTAATTGTACCTAAAATTCTTCATAACACAAAGGATATGAAACACAATTATAAATTATGTTTGTTACTCGGCTGTGTCGAATATACAATAACCCATTACTCTTGCTATTCGAGAACACGACAAAACGCACCTGCAGAATTTCGCGATATTTCACGTAAACTGAACACCTTTTTACCGTTAAAAACTTAATTAAATTCGTGAGAAGTAAAGTGGGTTGACATCAATTAATTAGCAGTTTTCCTCGTCGCATTGATAAAGAGAACTGACATTCTATATTGTCAGGGTGTTTATAACAGAAAGTGCAATAACTAGAAGAAAATATGCTCTGTATAATTTTATAAGTCAAAGAAATTGACAGCTTCATTACAGAGAATTAAATTTTCATTTTACAGAATAGAATAATTTAAAATTGTTTGGATTTCTGACTGCACAGTATTATTTGCCTAGAAATTCTCGATTCAGCAGTTGCCAATCTATGATTTCAATCGTATGCAGCTGTATGACGGTGCATAAAAGAAGTTTCATCGTGCGATATCAAAGATTAGTATTGAATATATCGACCCAGTTCAAAACTATCATTATTAAAAATCGATTCAAATGCGTCGAGGCACATCTTATAATACTACCGATTTAGGAAAATTAAAGTTTGTCTTGAAAATATTCGTCGCGCAGTCGACTGATACGGAGAACTACCCAAGTATCATGATAATTTGTATAATGTTAATTTAAATGTTAGTATAATGATAATTTGTCTCTTTTTGAATAACTATTACATATAAATTATCATAAAAAAAAAAAAAAAAATTGTTGGGAACTAAGGATTTGAACCGAGGATCTTCAGATTGCAAGTCATGTATCCGCTCCGTGGTTAAACACATGACTCGCAATCTAAAGGTTCTCGGTTCAAATCCTTGGTTCCCATTTTTTCTTTTTTTTTTTTTTTTTTTAATGATAATTTTTTTCTTTTTAAATAACTATTACTGTTGTGCTATAATCATTGCATTTATTAATAATTAATTACATACACTGCAATTTTTATAGAACTTAAGTTATTCAAAATAGAATATAGAATTTTAGTTTAGAATTATATAGAATTTTAATTATTCAAAAAGAAACAAATTGATGCAAAGATAGCAAAAATGAAATATTTAACCTTTTAACCTAAAATAATAGAGAAAAATAGATTTGTTATATAGATAATGGATACGCGGTTTCAATCTAGGAATAGATCAATTTCGAAAAATAACCAGTTTTCGCGGAAGTTTTTCAACCACTGTACGACCATTCGACGTCGATATTCGTCGAATATAATAGACACTGTTGGAATTGAATACTTTTTTACTCTGAAACAATATTTCTATCGCCTACGACACGAATATAGGTGACACTTTAAATGAACGACACAGTCTATCGTTCAGGGTGTTCTATCACGGTGTGGATAAAAGAACATATTGATATTTCTGTTTCTTTGTTTGTATTAAATTTTTTACGTGAACGGTCATAAAAAATATTTGTCCAGTCATTTAATAGAATCAAGAAAATAGTAGCCACGATTCAACAAGTACTATCAAAAGAAAGCGTACATGCACGTTATCTTACTCGAACTTCTAGCATTAAGCAATTTATCAACGAAGTTTCTCCAACATCAATCACTGAAACAATCCTTATCTTTTTCAGTTGAAGAAGAACCAAGAACCAAGATAAAGAATGTCCATCGACAAATCCCGGATCTTCACCGTTAACCCCATAAGAATTGATCTTTTTCGATGTCTTTAACGGATAGTTTGATCATCCTAGGATTTAGATGGTGTCTCCTTTTCTTTTCTTATAATTTGCAATTGAAAACAATAAAAAAGGCCTTGACTAAGGGAAGAAATATTGCGAAGGTATCATAATCGTCTTTCAAAGATTTTTAACCCTTTAAGGGTGAAATATTTCTAAATTTGAAATTGGAATATTTTTTTATTTAAACGAAATATTTATTGAAGGGTTAATTAGAAACGTGTGATTCAGTACCAATGAAATCAGTATGGTATCACTCGCACCCCCGCTTTCGTATCAAGATTGCAGAATTAATTTGTCTGCAAGGTTGAATCACGAGTAATCGATGCTATCGGACTAGCAGGAGCTTGTTCGATGAAACGGTGGCACACCTTTGCTTAAAAGCGGTCAAGAAATCGTATGGATTTTATTGCAATCGTACTAATTAAGAGATTTTATGATTGAAAGCACATGAATGCCACCGTTTGAGTTTAAAAGGGGAGCGCCAGCTCAGAAAAGTAATTAAGCTTTAGATTTCGATAGACAGGGAATAATTTTTAAGATAAATTCTTCTTAAAAAACAAAATATTCCCTTTATTTAATAAAGGGTATATTGCATTAATTGCGTAAATCCTTAATTACAATTATCACAATGAAACTTAGCATGCCAATTCTGCTCCATTTAATTAAAATGTCCCATTTATCATTTCTGCATTTATTAAAATATTTTTAAATATTTATAGTTCCATATGTTTCTGGGTAAAAACAATTTCATTTAATCGCATTTCTGATGGTCTTATTTTTCTATCGTTTCAAAATATTAATTAGAGTAATTGGGTTAATGAGCGTACTTCCTTGTCTTCAATTTATCATACTAAATTTGTCATCCTTAGACCCGCTTTCAATTTGTCGATGGTTCCTTTCTTGCCGCACTTGTCACAAGTGTAAGAACGGATATTGCGTCACTCGCTAGCAACAAGGGAATTACAAACCACTTATCCTCGAATAAATCTACACGGTGCTAAATTAAATATCGATCGCGCCTACATAATGAATTCCACGATGCAAATTCTCTCCGATTTCCTGTGCGCCGAGTGATTTCTTAAACAATAGGATACACGCGACAACGAACTGAACACGTCGACGGCCTATTGTGCCCGCCTCGAGCTACAAAGTGTCACTGTTCCAACAAAACGCCACAGCAATTTGCACACACTATGCGCAGACGGATAGAAGTTTAAATCGCGATTTTTAGAAACAATGGTAATCCTAACACTATGATTTATTTCATCAATGGTTCGCGAACTGCAATGAAATTGCTTGGAAAAAAGTGAAATGAGAAAACTTCACATTTTTTCTAATGGAATACATAATTAGTGAAAGAAAATCGAAGGCAAACTTTGATTAGCTGTAGCATAATTATTTTAAATAATCAGAATATTTGGATGAATCATATTTATTATCACTAAATTTCCAGTTAATTAAATGTTATGTTTATTATTCGTTACTTGTTACTTGTATCCTCTTCAAAGGAAACATTTATGAAACTGACGTCTCTTTGGAATATTTTCAACAATAGTCCCTGGAATTTATTCATTGGAAACGTTTATTTGCAAAATTGTGAATATTCTTTTATATAGTGCATTTATATCGAACAGAAAATTTCATATATTTAAATAATTATTCGTGAGCTAATATTCGTGATTTAATATTGGGAAATGAAATAAATTGATTATTTTTGCTCAATAAAAGCTACATTTTAAAACGTTCTATTCGAAGGTAAAAGAGTGATGCATTTGAATCGCGTAACTCCCTGGAAATACATTTCTGAAAGTCTTCGATCAGCTGTACTTTTATCGATCGGGTTTTACATTTCTTATCATTCAATTTAAGGAAAATTTCTTTCCCTTAAATTGAATTCTAAATTCCAATTTCAATTTCTAGATTTCAGATCTTACCTTGTTAATCACAGAGCAAAGTCGATAACGTTTCATCAATTTTTGATTGAATTGAAATAATTTTAAACGAATTCTTTAATCTATATTTAAATGTGAATTTCATTGAAGAAGGATAGCCTTTCATTATGCATACCAATTCTTGGTGGATGATAAACTTTCAGCTTCATCGTTTCCCCATTTCAACGTCTACCATTCGATCGATTTATGGCGTTGATAATTCCCTTTCACAAGTTGCGTACTGCTCGCTCCACTTTTGCCCTCTCGAATCCACCACCGAGTTCCGTGCGATCCTTTTTCTGGTGAGAACAAAAACCCCACATGCACGTATTGTGGATGTACGATAACGTGAAATACGATTTAACGAGCTCCGATTTTTAATTCATCAGTTAATGATCATCAATCGATGACTTTTGTGCGAAGAAGTCCTTTGAATTTCAAAACAAAAATTCTTTGAACTATACCCTTTTCCTTTCAATCTGCAGTATTACTAATTTTCAAAAACATATTTCATAATTAAAATAATTCTTTGAAAGCTTATATTTTAAATATTTAATTAAGAAAGTATCTCTGCGAATTTGATTAAATTTCCTTTCAATGTCAATTTTTAATTACACAATGTATATATAAATCTTAAGATGTTACCTAATTCATTTCGAGGAAAGAAAATTTCTTCCCGATTTGAACGGTGTGTACACTGCAAAAAGGCACTTAGCAGCTCCTCACCTTTACTTCCCCTTTATTCATCCATTACTACTTTCTTTACTTTTCACCCCGTTTCCTTTAACCCGTTTCCATTTCTCAATTTGCTATTTCTTCATCTCCTTCCTGTTCCTCGGTTCTTTTCACTTTCCTAGTTCTCTGTTAATTCACAGAGAAAGAGGTTCTTATTCTCACTTTCTTTCGTTTCTCTCGTTTCAATGTATTTTACAACTAATTACAAGCGAGTGAAAACGTTCGCCTGTAGTTGATGTCTTTGTGATTAATTAGCTTTCCAACTGTCCGGGATTGAGAAGAAGGTACTCCTTGCTATTCCCTTTCGGGATGGTAAATGTTTAATGAACGTAACGAACGTAAGAAGTGATTTATTACCGTGTTTTACGCCAGTGTATCATGGTTATCCACAACCTCTGCCGGCGAACATATATTTCGACTGATAACGTTGTTAGCGTCAGAAGCATCCTGCTGAGGTCATTTTTCTGCGTAAACACAGCATGGGGTAAATACTTGCGAAGAAACCACTCGTAAGTATCACAAGTAAACCAATACTTGTGAACTATTTCTATAGAATCAAACAGCAGCTGTGACAATTCCGAACATAACTGACCGATTTATCAGCTGTTGTTAACAAAGAACCACTACATTTTGCAATTTCTGTGAAGGTAAAATGCACATTTATCTGACGGAGTCGCACCAATTATCAGGTCACGATACAATCATTAACCATCAGTTCGGATAATTGCATCGGCTGGATGCGACAGGTCATTACCGGAATATAATCAGAAAGTTTTGTTCAACTAATGGCTCGTTAGCCAGTTCCTTTCCAATAACTGTCGATTAATTGATCAAGTTTTGGCTGCTTATGCAACTTCGAACACTCTTGCCGAAACAAGAGGATATTACGGCGAACCGTCCTAAACTATGTACGTGGAGATTATTTTCCAGAAGAAAGGAAATTCTAAACTTTGATTAATATACTAAATGTCAATAAATATTAGATATTAAAATTAGTAGTTGATATATTAAAAAATTTAATGATTAATTTTGGTGGAATATTCATGGTATTCAGAACTCTTCCTACACTTCCTAAACTCAATATCTTAATTAACTTTTTTTTCAAATTACACCTCGGTGTATGCAATGCGATTCGTGTACATTGGTGCACCATCGTCCCGTAAAATGAATGACAAACTTCTACAGAAACTCGACCAGATTTGTGTGTCGTGTTAGTCAAACTGTTAAATTAGTTTCCTGTCGCCAGTCACCAGTGGCCACCATAGCAATCAACGTGTTAAATCCACCACTTTCGTTCTCGCTAAATCCCGAATGGAATAAACGATTGTTACCAAACCGCTTCAGACATTTAATCGTAGAACAACAACTTTTTCCCAATTGCAATAATTGAGAACGAATTATTCAAAAGTTGCAAATATAAAAATCATTAGAAATTACATAGTTTTACCCTTTTCTATGTAAGCTAATATTCTAAATAATCACAGCTATATTTCCCTAATTATAAATAAATATTCATTCCATCCGACGTGTAAAATATTCTTGACTGATAGTCAAGAGGGTTGTGATACATTCCAGAGGGTTCTAACACTCACCTTCAGTCGAGAGTTTGCCCCGTGGCAATGGTTCTTCCTCCCTGGAGAAGTTGGAGCTGATCCATCACAGTTTCTCGTAGTTTGTACACCTCGATGTGCAGTCAACGTTCTTCAATGGGAAACAATACGTTGAAGAGTTCTGACTCGACAGATTTCGCGACAGAGTTCATTGCACGCTTGATCACTCGCACGAGTTTCGTTCACCCTACCACCCGGCAATGATTCATTTCTCTTTTTCCACTTGTCACCTTTTAAATAGTTCCTCTCACTCGAATATTTCCGTCTCGCCTACTTTCGCGGTTAATGGGCTGAACTTTCAATGAAGATACTTGAAAAGTTTTGGGAACAAGTGAAACTGCATTGAATGGATCCAGTTTGATGACATCGTTACGAGTCTTGAAATATAAATTAAAGTGATTTGAACATTTTAAATTGTCGAAGTTTCATGTTTAAAAAACGTTTACCAGATTTATTTCACGAAACATGCTTCGACGATGATTCTCTTTTATCATTGAAAGGATTATTGTTAAATCACGATACGAAGGATTTTAAACGACGAACGCGGGCTCTTGAAGAGGATGCGAGCTAAGGTCCAGCCGAATGTAGCAACGCGTGTACACTGAAGGAACTTGCGAAGCGAGGGCGCCGGCTTGAACCGCATCAGCCCCTCTTCCCAACATCCCGCGCGTCGCGCATTCTCTTATCAGACCCTGCCCTTCTATCGCGATAAGCCCTCGGAAAAATTTTCACGAACCCACAAATGACTCCAGGAATTTTTAAGCTGGACTTGGAAACTTTCTAACAAAGGGCATTCTTTCATAACGCAAGTAGAACAAGTCAATGTTATATCAGATCAATGGAAACGGTATAAAGTTCTCTTCCAATAAACTTTCACAACAATAGAAATTTGTAAATTAATTTTCGTAATGGTAGAAAATTGTAGAATTAATCGGTGCATGAAAATTTAGTTGAAATATCGTACTGAATTTAATATACATTGGGGTTTCTGATATCATTCTACCATTAATGAGTTTATGCTGCTTAACTTTAACGTAATTTAAGCTATAACGAATTTCACATGACACAATTATTGGATAATAAATTTTACCTAAGCTTTACGATTTTCCTGGAGTTCCAGTAAATTCCTACCTTCTACGTCTGTGCATACATTACACTGGTAAATACAAGATATTTATCACGTTAATTCTGGAATACTAATATTACATCTACATTACCCTACAAGTTCTACGTCGCTAAGAGATCCTCAATATTTCATAAATTTAAATAATTTTTAATTTTTCATGCACAGAGATGTGTCATCTCTTACTTTTTATAATTGTTGAATTACAGTTTAGGCAGAAATAAAATTTTGCAGTTCTATTTATTTTTAGAGGTACACTTCGAAGGGTACTCACCGCGTTTTCACAGACTTTTCAGGAAAGCGTAAAAACATTTTCATTTTTCTCCAACGAGTAATAAAAATTAACAAGCATAGGAAAGATTTTATTCGTACCCTGAGGGATTTACTAAACCAATACAGAAAGTTGTTTGGTAGGAAAAATTTCATTTCCTTTGCTTACAGAGATTTAAAAGTTCTCTCCTCTTTCATTAAAGAAAAATAATTTTTTATGACGATTTTAGATTGGAATAATTGTAGCTAATCGTGTAAAATTATAACTTCAAGTATTCGCTTACGCACTCTTAATTAACGAAGGTAGCTTAATAAAATTTCGAAGCTAACGAGTTTGATATTTACTAGGGCGAAAATATTCACTAGGTTGAGCGTGAAAAACTTGTTTGATTTATACTAAACTGAACCTCGTACAAGGTTAATAAAAAGGTGCGAAAATTAAAGTTGAAAACTGGATGTAGCCAGTTCTGAAAAGGATCTTCGATATAAATATCTGTAACGAGGATCATATTTAACCAACTACATTATTTTAATTAGATATCGTTACATTAGCTCCTAGTTACAGAGCAATAATTAATACTACTTAATCCTGTAATTATTTTCATAGAACGGTTTGCATTAAACATAATCTATAATTGTTATCTAAAACAAACAACAGAAATTCATTTACGTTTGTTCATGTTTAATTAATGAGATCTGCAGACGTCCCCACATACCGCGAGATGCTTTATTGCTTTAGATGTGCGTGGAATGCGAAAGCTTACGTAAACATGAATAGTATACAAATTTCATATGGGCCTGCTGTTAAAATATTCTAGCCGAGTTTCAAGGAGGCTGACATATGATAGATGATGAAAAAATAATGTTTATTGGCCCTGGATAACGTATATTACCATTACTTTACACTGCTAGTAGAACGAGTCAATGGTGCGTCAGACCTCTTGCACGGGCAAGTAGTATAGGTCAACGATAAACCAGCCGCGCCAACAAAATTACACAATAACGAAAATTTTTACACACATGCGATATTGTGTATAGGTATATGTGATTTAATTTAAAAAGAAAATAAAAATTGAAAAAATAGTGTTTAATAAGTGTATGTAACAGGTGGATATTGAAAGGGACCACTATAGCTGACCACAAAGAGTTGACTACCGCTCTGGGAATCTTGTTTCCTGTTACACATTGAACAATGGTTACCAATATTTGTTGTAGAATCCATCGTTTGTCAAATAATGTTGCTGGAAATTTGTTGCATTTCAAAGGATATCATGGTCAAATAGATTTCAAACGCGCTTACCGAATAATCGAACGAAATAGCAAACTACGAAACGAACTTCATCATTTTTTTGTTTATTCTGTCGTGGAAAATTTTATCTTGCAAATTGAAAACATTTGAAGCGCACTGTTTCGCGAGTCATGGAAAAGGAAATTTGCAATTCGAAGCAGTTCCAATAATGCAATTGCTGTTTTGAACAGTGAAAAGCAAAAATATTCGAAATTGTTGTTTTCTATTTTCTCACAAACCATCCGCTTTCCCGTGTGGCGAGCAATATTGATTTTCGGACATCGTTAAATTCGCAGTATCTTATCGCGGATTTGAAATAATCCAGGAATCGATCGCTTGATCCGAAAAAAACAGTGGCACCTTGATTAACGAAGCTTTCGCCTTACAGAGAAGGTTCAATTTTGCGCCAATGTGAACTTAAATTGCTCCGATTTGTCTGATTCCATTTATACGATTCAACTGTGCTAGATGTTCAATTTCAATGGCAGCAATTATTATCACGCAAACAAGTCATGAACTGAAACTTACTTAGTTTCGCTTCGGCTTTGTATCGTTCGGTCTGTCGATTGAAGAAATGTTTTACGATCACAACATTTAATCATAGGATCATTTTTAGGTAAATTGGTCCATTAGAAATTTTTGCAATTTGGATTTTCTTAATTTTCTAGACTTCGAATTTGTTAGCTTTCTAATTTCCTAATTTTCTAATTTCATAGATTTTTAATTTCCTAATATTCTAATTTCATAAGTTTCTAATCACCTGGCTTTGTAATTCCCTAATTTTCTAATTTCATAATCTTTTAATTTTCAATATGCCTTCGGCAAAATAGAAAATATCACTCACGAGATTTACAGCATGAGAAATAAAGCTCTGTATGAGATGACCATTTTTGTGGTATAACTTCCACTTCAGAAGGAAAGTACAACAAATATACTACAAGATTAACCGATTCACAGGATTACTCGGGGTTCATCCATTTTAATCCGCTCTTATATACGTTAACAGCTGCAAGCAAGGAAAAAGGTTCTTCAGTTTTATATCCTTCTTCTATTTCAACAAGAAGGAAATTTATGACTAACGGAACGATAGTCTTCACGTTTTTGTATTATGGAAACAACTCTGAGGTTTTGTGAAGTAACCACTCTAATTACCTTTTTATTCGTTTCAACTCTCGTGGAAGTGCAGTTTTCATTCCTCAAAAAGCACTAAAGCTCGAATGAAATGCAGTATTCTTTTTTCTATTATTTTATAAACTTTCAAAAAAATTTATGTGCATCTATTTATTTCTACAATAGAATTTCATGAATTGGTTCTGCCGAACATAACGAAGAACTTAATGAAATTCACAAGATCTGTAATCAGTTTGAAGTTTGTACTCGTTTTTCCGCTTAGATTAATTACAGATATTTGAAGAAGGACTCTTGGAAGTTGAAGTAGACGTTGACACCGAAAGTGTGGCGTAACTGGAACTTTTCAAACTTCTAACTACAGCTGAGAAGATGCAGCAAACTTCTAATTAAAGATAATATCGAAGAAAGTTAAAATGTTTCAAGTCAATATGCTGATTTTATGCTCCATGATAAGTAGTCATAAATTGACGTTAGAGCTGAAAGTTGAAATAATGGATGGAACCAATGGATCATGCATATGAAGCGTTTCATTTCCTTGAACATTT